TATACACGATGACATTTCCAGACGAGAGATGGGCTATGAAACCCCTTGCGGGGTTGATGGAAGGTATGAATCACATGCCAGCGGTATGGTGCAAGCTGACTTGTCTAGGAACTTCTCTGGAGGGCAGGGCCAGCGGTTGTCAATTGCGCGGCTGTTACTACGAAGGCCAAGACTTGTTTTGGTGGATGAAGGTACCAGCTTTCAGGATGCAATCACTGAAAGCCTCATCAAGAAAAGTTTTTCGGAAGAATTTGGAGAAATGACTGTGCTCTTTACGGAGTAAGCGACCTTACGCTCCATAGTAGTCCGTCTCACCCTAACAACAACAGGCACCGATTTTCCTCAATCATGGGTGCAGAGGAGATTATCGTCCTCGGAAAGAAAGGATCCATCCTACAGAGAGGCAGTCATGATGAACTCTTGGCGTTGAAGGGCGGGAAATACTGGGAATACTGGCAAAATCATCTCGGAAAGTAGACCCAGACTAGAACGGCAATGGCATACGGTACAGTACGATGGCTTCAACACTCCCTTGAGTGGTTGCTCCGAAGTGTTTATGCCCTCAGTCCTGGGCCAATAAAACCGTAGGACGAGTGAAAGGAGTTCCACCTAATCCCAGCAGACTCACATAGATGGTCAGCTACTAGATTGACCATTGTATTCGATTCTATTTCGATCTTTCTGAGCTAAAAGCTCTGATTGAGTGCAGGTGCCTAGTTTTCCATGGTCGGGACGTTGAGATGAGCTAAGAGACAGCCAGTCTTTGACTTACCCGGGCAATGGGTGAACAACTGGCCAACGCATCTTTGGTGAGTCTCATGGATGGATGGACGGAGGGGCCTGATAACCAGGACATCTTCTCTCTGATATGCCTACTTTTGTTTGATTTCACATTACTCTTTTGTCCGCGAGGGAAGAATTTTGACAAGTGTGATGAATTCGAATTCAGTGAGTGTTAGACAACTAGGTGTATTGCAACAATCCTCTCGGTGGCACTTGGAACGCGTCGACAATCGGCTTGGACCGAATTCGCAGACTTCGCTCCGGCTGTAACATCCGAGACACGGGTCTCTCGATAAGGTCGTCATGATGCAGCGTCTTTCTGCTTCGTCGATAATTTTGAGCCATGCTATCGTCTGTCCCCGAGCATCACCTCCTTTGTTCTACCACAGCGCGGATGAGCCAACCTTTCGTCGTTTTCTCCGGAAGGGGTAATCGTCCTAATACGAAGAGCATAGTGACCCCTAGTGCCCATATATCCCCCAAGCGCGTCTCGATGCCGTTTCGTTATTAGGTCAGGCGGGACATACCATGGAGTACCTCCCGTCATCATCTGTTCATCAGCGTTTGTGGCTAGCCCGAAATTTATCAACGTGACACCGCGGGAAGGCGAATAGGTGATGTTTGCCGGCTCAATGTCGTTATGGTGAGCCTTCTTGTTGTGGAGATACCTCAGGGCAGATGAAGACTGCCAAAATATTGCGTGGACATCGGTTGGTGTGAAAGAGGATGGTTTGCGGTGACCCGGGCTTGAGGGAAGATGCGGGAGAATCATCAAGCCTAGACGGCCGTCAAAGGCCAGTATTAATACCATGTTTGGCTGCTGGCCATTAGACAAGTCTGCGAGCAAACTACCTTGTGGAGTTCGGCGATGGCGTGAAACCTATATGGTGTAAACACTGTAGGGAAAGCGCTTGTCTTTTCCAATTCATCGCACTTCTCATCAAGCCGTGGCCTTTGTCGGCATGAACTTGTCCACTTCAGCCACAGCGGTACCCTGAAGCTCCTAGCGGCAAACGATGTAAAGGCCGGCTGACGAAGGCTCGGCGATTTGGACCAAGCGTATAGGTGGCCGGGTTGCCGGCACCCGATTTCTGTGATCACTATGGAGTACTACGACTTTCTCAGACTGCTCTGTGATGACAGTAGCCATTTCCTCGTCTCGGAGTCTAAGAAGTGATGCACTATCCGTTCTGTGTTTCTTGGCCACTGTCTCGAAAAGCCACGGCGAACTACCTTGGGAGAAACGAGAAGTAGACGAGGTGTTGCGTGGTCTTGTCGGTTTGAGAGTCCACCGAGATCCTCCACAGCTTTGGTCTTACTGTTCGGGTCTGATCGTTTCACAGACGTATCATTTCCTCTGTCTAAGCCCGAGAGGCAGACATCCACGTACGACTTATCGACCAAAAGACAGGCATCCTCAACGGAAGTGGAATGATCCTCACAATGGAGTTGGAGTAACATCGGGCGGGTTGTCGGCGGGTTGTCGGCGAATTGCAAGATCGGCCATAGAAGGGTTGATAATGAGCATAACCCATGCTCTCCGGTCGCTAGACTACACCAAACACGTTCCCGCCACCAATAGTGTGTGGAAGGGAAACGGCAGTAGATTCGGTGTCGACTAGCAGGCAAGCGAGGGGGAAAAGAAAGCCAGCATTCGGTAATGATGCGAGATGCACATTTTTGAATAAATGTTGACCAGGTCATCGACATGGAGGGTGGCGGGCGTTAGCGATGTAGACGCAACCGCGGCGAAGGTTTGCTCAAACGATCGGCCTTCGGTTGCTATAATTCTATAATTTGCTCTACACGGTGCTGCCACCCTGCCGGATCGCTGAAATTCTGCACTGGCTTTTCAACGTGTGCGAACTTGCTGGGGAGGGTCGAAATATCAACTCCTCAAGCGAAAGACTGTGTTGTCCCTCAAATACAGTAGGCTAAGGGGATGAGTATCGTTCAAGTAGCACGCTTTCATGGGTACATGAGACTTCGTATTGAACTGGGGCACGGCGCCTAATGGGCGCGGACGTCGGCGCCTAGACCCGCCTCGTCCATTGTTGCCGATCTTGGCATTCTACTCGAACCCGGGATCCCACTTCTCACCACTCACGCAAAGCACAGTTTGCAATTCAACAAACGCTTTCTCCTTCTTCGCCCGACCTTCACCACAGCCTATGTTGTCCACAAACCACGCCGACTCACCGTAGTGGGCGCTCGTGTCGACATTGCACATACTTTCTTCCCCACCCGCCGTCGTATCGGCCGACTACCTTACCGGATGGCCGCCCGCCCGCCCGATTGATAATTGAGACGAATTGCCGCAAATTTTCCGCCTCGTCGCCGCCGAAGACGACCGATCTAATGAAACCAGAATGAATACGTCGATCCAGGCCTGAGCTTCGCGATCTCGATTTCGTGCTGATTAAGCGGTGTGCGAAGTACGACACCATGACCGGCCCTGTCCTAGGCCGTAAGAGGATTCATCGATTCGGCAAGGGAAGTTTCAGACCGGTCTGGTAATCTTCAGGATCTTGGAGACTGTATCGCTTTGCTGCATGAAACGCGCTGTAAAGATTGCTTCGAAAGAGCAGTAATGGGGACGACGAGCAACGTCGCTGCTGAAGCGGAAGCGCATGCGAAAGTTTTGAGTTTTCATCGCACCTGGTCCGGAATTTCCAAAGGGATCAGTTTTGGAGAGAAAAAGAGATGTTATACTGGGGTCATCGAGCATTTCATGGAATATAACGGTGTATTGGTTTAGCTGACCAGCCCAATGTGCCTGCTGATAACATAATAGTAGGAGCTATAAGAGATGACAGATAGAATTGTTGCTCGGGGGTATCGGCCCCGTAGCGATATCATGTAACCATGGAGACCCGAGTGTTGAATCTCGGCCTCTTTGCCTCGTCCACGCCCCATCGAAACTCAGGAAATGGAAGGAAAAGACAGAAATGCGACTGAGACATGCGCCCCTAGAAGTAACTATCAAGGTCATGGCCACTGATAAGCTCTGAAGAATAGCTTGAAACTGTTACTGTACCATTGGTAACACTGTCGGTTGCTTTCGTCGCGAGCACTCGTCCACTGATCCCTTTTCGTTCTGAACGACCTTCCTTCGTGATTGAAAACGATGTAAGTCCCTTTCTTTCCCCTTTCGACGGAAAGTTGGACCTCGTTGTAAATCGTGAGACTGCTTGAGGCTTGAGCTTGAGTCTGGGAGCTTTGACCATGGTAGCTGTCATCGGCTTGTTCTTGTCCAAAAGTTGGCGTTTCGGACATTTCGCTGGTTTCCTCCTCGAAACCTTCATTATCAGCCTGCATCGCCGATGGCAGCTCGAGATCCTCTGCAGCTTGTGGGATAGATGCCGCATTGAATTCCTCTTGTTGCAGAAGTAGAGCTGCCATGTCTTCCGAGTGCTTCTCTTCCAACGCCAATTGCATCTTTTCATGCTTCCGGTCCCACTCGAAATTCGCCTTCAGATCGAACTGGAACTCGAAATGGCTTAGATCAAGCTCTGGCTCGTTTTTGACAAGACTTCCGAGTCTGTGCCATTGGTATTGTCCAAAGGATGTACAAATGTCAATGTACTGGTGAGGGTCCCCTCGTGTATCAGCACCGAAGAGTGGTTCGAGTCGACATGTCGGCTTTCGGATAATCCAGGTTCGGAACGTCGTTGCTCTGGTAGTTTGACAGTAAACAGCGTTGGTGCGATCTTTGTTCATAGCCAGCAATGCTTTTGTCTCGACATCATTTTCCGCTTGTGCGATGTCTGCTGGGCCAACCCCTAGCTTCTTGTCCTCCCCTGTCACCACTTTGCGCAGCCGACCATGAGGCGTCAATTCCGACACAACCCTGTCAATTTTCAGATTTGAATAATCCGGATAGATTTCCTGGCCGACGAAGAATCCTTGCCTCTCTGGAAACATCTGTCGACACTCGAATGCCCAAAATGAGTTGGTATGACCTTCGCGATCATCTTCATAGATTGTGGTGTAGAGATTTTTCCTGATCTCGTGTGTTCGGTCTGCTTCAAAGAAAGCCATTTCTGAGTATAATATATCAAGATAAAACAGTTGCAGACTCAGGAACGCTTCTGTAACAGGCACGATTGTATTTTATAGACACTTTTGATTTCTTTCCTTTTCCCTTTCCCTTTCCCTTTCCCTTTCCCTTTCCCTTTCCCTTTCCCTTTCCCTTTCCCTTTCCCTTTCCCTTTCCCTTTCCCTTTCCCTTTCCCTTTCCCTTTCCCTTTCCCTTTTCCTTTCCGCTTTCCTCTTCCTCCCCGTTTCCTTTACTTTCCTTTCACTTTCCCTTTCCGGGCGTTTCAAGCCCAAAGCTCCACATCCACCTTCAGGCGTGCCTTACCACATAGGGGATTCACTTTTGGAGCATGTTTTCTCTCCTTCAAAACCACTTTCGGCGGTCTGGTAAATTTCTACATCTCACATCCCTCAATACTCACATCGCACCCCTGTCATCCATTCCGCAAATTTCGAGTTGGGTCTAGTGTACCATGAGACGCGAAATCTCCCTCCATGTCAACACCTCACTTGAGAATATCGTCACATTATGCGAGAAAGAGGTAAGTACCGAAGAAGAGCAATTCTCCTTGCTGCTTATCAGTTTCAATCAGGTCGGGAGCCCCTGCCAGCCGCCCGAATGGTGCGAACTTCAAAACCAAGACATCGACGCAACAGGAGAAGATGTCGTTGCCATCGTATTGGATGTAGTTTCCTCAAATGGGCAACTGCGTACCTTTAATGCGCAGAACCAAGAAGTGGAGATGTTTGTGGCAAAGGATTCTGCTCAAAATACGAGACGCGCTGTGATTCTACTACCAGGAAAGGATCTTAAATACACCTGTTTTGGAAAGTGCAAAATTGGAATCGTGCGGAAAGCTACGTAGACTATGATGGGTCAGAAATTGTATACATAATGTTTGGCCGCTTGGTGATCAGATCTCTCGCAACGCCGGCCGAGATCCTCACAGTGACAAATGGGGCTGCACTACTAAATGGCATGGTCAAAAAAATGTCTATGTCGCCGTTCGCAATGATTTTTATGCCGTCCATAGGCTCCAATTTATAGACGAGTCCACCCATGGGCCCTGCGTAATGTTAGAGACTGACGCGCCATGCAATTCAAAATGACACACCTTCTACGGGTGGGTACAAAAAATCGTGGTCGATCTCCTTAGCAATATCGTGATCGTGGTCTGCGTTTGGGAAGGCTTGGCCGTGACTTCGCTTGCGACCGCTAATCGCAGCTTCATCACGGATGTCAGCGAGGTTGCTTGCGACACGGCTATCAGACCCTGCAGCGGTAATGCATTGCGATACCGGGACTGTAACACCGACGTTGTGAATTTGTTCGTGATTCGACTCAACAACTGCAGTATGGGTACTGTCATCGGCTGATTTATGGGTTGGCGCATGGGTCGACGGCTGGTTTGAACTGTGCGTTGATTCGCAGCCCTCATCAATGGTGTGATCAGCTACGTCATGGCTCAGGTCAGTCGTAGCCGCGATGAATAAGGTGGAAGCACTTACCCGACGGCAAAAAGGCCCTAATCGTATGCTGGTGCTTTCCCTTCAGCTCTGCAATGAGGCTGTCAAAATCGGTGGGTGGACAGGTCTGACCCCACCAAGTGTTGAATCCAGCGACAAACGATGGGCCATCTGACTTGGCGAACGTGGTTGGAGCTAATCCAAAAGCACATAAGAACAGACCATTGAAGCCATGCGTCTTGTAGATGTCGAGCAGTGTTGTGCGCCTCTTGTGGTACCTTGTCTTGTCGACAGAGTTTTTGAAAACGGTCTGAAGATGTAACAAATTGAGATTCTTTTGAAGATTGTTTTCTTGTTTGGGGGACAATTCTCGGGTCAATTTGCTTAGCTGGTCGCTCAAAGACGCGAGGAGCTGGGCCGAAAGTTGTGTCGCAGACGTGGAAGGTTCCATGCCTGTGCAATTAGCGACGGACGACTTTGAGGAAGAAAGGAAGGGAAAGGAAGGGAAAGGAAGGGAAAGGAAGGGAAAGGAAGGGAAAGGAAGGGAAAGGAAAAGGGGAGTAAGGAAAAGTGGAGTATCTGTCGGGTGACCCCGATCCGGCTTTACATGCATGCATGACGTCTTCGGACCGGCAGAAAATCCGCGACGGTCATGAATACAACGAGGTGTCCCACATTCTGCTGAATCCCTGTTCTCATTTTGCACAAGTCATCAGCGTATACACGCCTCAAGACCCCAATGAAGTCTGTCTGTGTTCCGCAATCTTGTGGCCTTTGTCGATGCCAGATCGCCCTAGGCGACACAATCGTCGCCGGTAAGGTAGCTCTTTTATCTTCTGTATCATAGTTCTAATGGA